AGTATTGTCACTCCTGCTCATTTTTAAATGCAATTAGCTTGGTATATTTTTCTGTCCTCTTACTTTTAGTCGGTTTTTGTCTTTGTGTGTAAGGTGTGTCTCTTGCAGTCAGCATATTGAAGGGTCTTATTTTCTTATCCATTCTGCCACTCTCTGTCTCTTGACTTGTACATTTATTCCACTGACATTTAGTGTAACTATTGATAGGTATGAATTAATTGCTGTCACTATGTTAATTTTTTTTTTTTTCCTGAGGTGCTGTTCGTTACTTTGTTCTTCATGCTGTGTTGTGCTGAGTTAATGTTTTTTGTGCTATTACTTGTCAGTTTCTTTTTAGTTTTAATGTTTCCTTGTTCGACTTGGATCTTCATTTTCATGATAAGTTGTGAGGTTACCCTATGGTCTATCACCTTTTCCCTCCATTTAAGACAGTCTGTTGTATCCTGCAATCTACCAGACCTCCTCACCACCTGAATCTCTGTTCCTATATTTTCCCCTTCATTGACATTGTTATGATTTTGATCTTTGATTGGACTCACAAGTCCTCTGAATTCATTGTTGTAGTTTTCTTCTGTTCTGGACTCTGCTATCTATCTTCTGAGTTTTGGGTGTTGTTGCCACGTCTGTTAATCTCTCATTGTTGTGTGTTCTTGTTGGTTTTCTTTACAAAGAACTCCCTTTAGGATGTTTTGAAGCAGTTGGTTGGTTTTGGCAAAGTCTCTTAGCTTCTGTTTATCCTGAAATTTTTTATTGCACAATCATATTTGATTGACAGATTTTCTGGGTAGATGATTCTTGCTTGTCAGTTTTTCTTTTAGGTTTTTATATATGTCTCCCCATTTCTTTCTTGCCTGCATTGTTTCTGCTGACAGGTCAGTGCTTAATCTAATCTGCTTACCTTTGAAAGTAACACTTCTCTTTTCCCTGGCTGCTTTTAGGATTCTCTCCTTGTCTTTGATTTTTGGAGAGCTTGATGATGATATATCTTGATGATTTTCTTTTGGGGTCTATCCTTCCTGGGGTTTCTTCAGCTTCTTGAATGCTCATCTTCTCATCCTTCAGGATGTTAGGGAAATTTTCTTCTGAAGATTCTCAACTATTTCCTCTGTGGACTTCTGTGATTCTTCCTATTCCAGAATGCCAATAATTCTTAAGTTATTACTCTTCATGTTATCCAACATGAATCTTAGACTTTCTTCGGATTTTTATATCCTTTTTTTCTGCTTGCTTTTCTATCTTAGCAGTATTGAGAGATATGTCTTCCATCTCACTGGTTATTGCTTCCATGTCTTCAGTTCTACTCTTTTTCCCTTCAGTTTATTATCCATTTTTGGTATTTTATTGTTAATCTTCTAGACCTCTTTATGTGGGCTTTTAATTGTTTGCAATACTATATCTATCTTATTTGATTGCTTTTGTAGTACTTTCCTGACTTCTTTATTTTTCTCCACCCCTCTTTGGAACAATTGGGTTTGTCTCCATATCATTTTTTTGAATTCCTTCTCAGGTAAATCCAAAGCTTGCTCTTCTTCTAAAGGGAAGTCTATGTCTGCCTCCTTTCTTTTGTCTCAGTTACTCTTTTATGGTTCTGGGTATGTGCTGAGATCATTTGTTGCCTTTTCTTGGACGTTTTCAACAGTTATATGTGTTTTCAATGATAAAATTAATATATATTGCTGTGTTGTTAAGCATACTGAGTTTCTCCTTATCGATGTGATCTGGAGATAGTCTTCCCTTTTCCTGTCTCTTATTATTCAGCTGCAGCAGGCTATCTTATAAAGTGTTGGCAATCTGTGTAATGTCTAGCAGCTGGTAATGGCTCCTGTGCAGATGGTGGACGATTATAGGGTAGGCTTATAGCTCAGCTTTATGGCCACAATTGCTGATTCTTCTTGGCTAACATTGGGAGAGAAGGCTTCCATCCCTAGGAAAAAGTGAGACCAACAGTACCAAAAAACAGAAGCAATATTAAACCAGAGAAAAAAACCGCCACACAAAACCAAAAATAAAACCGTAGCCGACTGTCCATTAACCTGTGCTGCGAAGATAAGTGCGTGTACACTGTAGAATTGATGCCCCACAATTTATGTTAGATCCAATGCTGTGGAACTGTTCTACCAAAGCGCCTTCTCTGGTTTTTTGTTCTTTTTTTTTTTGCGCCTGTTCCAAGGAGTCTCCCCTGCATGTCTCTGCTGCTCCTGTCCCCAAACTGGAATTCTATTTGTAGCTTTTTAAAAATTACTTTTGTTCTGTTTTTCTGTTTCTTTTAATTTGATCTTCCAATGTTTATTTTGGGGAGCTCAATGTTCCATATATTAAGCACTGGTTTGCAAACCACAGGGTTGTTGGTTTGAGCCTAGTAGCTGTTCCTTGGGAGAAAGATGAATCTCTATGTCCCTGTGAATATTTAAAGCCTCAGAAACATTATACAGGGTTGCTATGAGTGCAAACTGATTTGAAGGCACTTAACAACAACCACCACCAACGTATTTATTTATTGTTGCCTTTTGGAGTATTGCATTTTCTCTTGTCTCTTAACATATGAAATATATATATATACATTTGTTGTTATGTGCTGTGAAGTCAGTTCCGACTCATAGCACCCCTGTACAGGGTTTCCAAGGCTGTAAATCTCTACAGGAGCAGAAAGCCTCATCTTTCTCCCACGGAACAGCTGGTAGTTTC